GCGCGTTACACTCTCTCTCTCTCTCTCTATATATATATATATAATGCATACACCCAGATAGACGTGCATGTCACATGACACATCTATGTTCACAGGCCGACAGGGACATGGATAGATGGGCTTTCAAGGGCGCAGAGTGCGAGAGGGTCAGGACAGGCCCAGCAAACGGTGACTTAGGGGCTGAGTACCCTAGCCCAATTATAGTAGGGTTACTACACCCTAAACCCTAAACCCTAAACCCTAAACCCTAAACCCTGCCCCAAAAAGGTTAAGGGTTACTCAGCCCCTGGGATGAAGATCACCGGCTCGGGCGGTCGCGAGGCTGCGGGAACTTTTTCCCAAAGAGCTGCAATCCACGAGGCGCCCGCTTCTCTACACGGTTTAGGGTTTAGGGTTTAGGGTTTAGGGTAAGCCCTACGCCCCGAACCCTAAAACCCTCCACCCTAATATAGGAATCTGATTAAGACAAGAAGCCCTGGCCCTACAACCCCAATATATTAGGGCATTGGGGTTCATATTAAGAACCCCAATAAAGAGCCAGGGTTTCAACCAGGTTCCTACATTATCGTCCTATCGTCCCTAAACCCACCTTTTGGGGGAATGGATCCCTATGATTGTCCCGCAAGGTCCGTTATAGTAGTCCCTATAGCCCATTCTCCCATTCCCTTCTAAGCACCAGACAGACGAAGCCTGAACCCCAAAACCCTAAACCCTAATCCCCTAAAACCCCTAAACCCTAATCCCCTAAAACCCCTAAACCCTAAATCCCTAAACCCTAAACCCTAATCCCCAAGCCCCCTAAACCCAAAACCCCTAAAGCCCTAAAGCCCTAAAACCCCTAAACCCCTAAGCCCTAAAACCCTAAAACCCTAAACCCGAAGCCCCGAAACCCTAATCCCCAAGCCCCCTAAACCCAAAACCCCTAAACCCCTAAAGCCCTAAACCCCTAAACCCCCTAAGCCCTAAGCCCTAAAACCCTAAACCCCAAGCCCCGAAACCCTAAACCCACCTTTTGAAGCCGATAAGACTTGAAGGATCCTCGGTCTCGCCGGAGCGGTGGGAGACGAAGACTCCCCACCTGAGGCAAAGCTCAAACAGGGTTTAGGGTTTAGGGGTTTAGGGTTTAAGGGTTTAGGGTTTAGGCCTCTGGGAGTCTAGGCGCCCCGCTTTCGGGTTGTAAGGCTTTTGAAGGCTTTGGGGTTTAGGGGTCTAGGGCTGTAGGGGTTTAGGGATTAGGGGTTGCGGGGCTTTTATTCGAAGTCTTAGGGTTCTGGGGGTTTAGGGCGTCGAAGAGGAACTTGAGGAGCGTTTTCTTTTTCACGGCACACGTTTCTTCGTTGACGCACATGTTGATGCCGGTTTGCTCAGATCATACGACTAATATGGGGGTTTCAGAAAATAGGGGACCCTAATTTAGCGCCCTAAATACTAGGATCCGTATTATAAGGACCCCAAAATAAGGTACCCCTAATTTCCGGAAACTTCCAATCCTTACACAGCGGCTCTAGGAAGCAAAGTCGATACTCAGGGATATGCCGATGCCCAACGTCTGGAATCACACCAACCATGACGGCACTGGGGACAGCAAGCCAGACATAGAGAATCACAGACCGGCTTGATTAATTTAGGGCTTAGGGGCCTTAAAAATTAGAATAGGTAACTGTTGAGGCTTCTACATGATGCTTCTGGGGCCAGCTGCGATCCTTCAAAATGATACTCTACACCACACACCATACTCCTACGCGCGAGAACCCAATGAAGCAAAACTGAAGACCTCCGCTAAGTCGCAAATCCGTCAATCTCAAACTGTATACAACATCAGTTACCCTCTGAAACAAAGGCCTGAACCCCATCCTAAAGCCGAAACCCTAAACCCTAAAACCTGAACCCTAAGCCCTAAACCCTAATATATATATATATATATATATATATATGGAGCATCCGCGTCAACAGACGAGCAGAAAAACCTCTCGGAACGTCCCAGGCGCTTGTTGTCGCGGCAGAGCTTCCAGGCCGCGATGGACTCCGAGACGCTTCCGATTTGGTTCACCTGTACTTAAAGGGTCATGGGACTGAGTAAGTAGGGTTATAATTTGGGTAACTATACTTATTACCCCAATTAGGGGACTTATAACCTTACTTACTAAGTCCCATGATCCTCCAAGTAGGGCTGCTTGGTCTGCAAGAGCAGTAAAAGCGGCGCCGGGGGGTGGTTGTGATGCTGCTGCTGCTGCTAGTGCTAGTGCTAGTGCTAGTGCTAGTGCTAGTGCTAGTGCTAGTGCTAGTGCTAGTGCTAGTGCTGCTATTGCTGTGTTCTGTCTCTTCCAAGCATAGAAACGCTAGAGGGCCTCCTCTTCCTACTCCTGTTTCTGCTCGGAAGAGCTTCGTAGCTCCACTGCGGATGCCCCCCGTAACGGCCGGACACTCCAAGACTCCTTAACTAGGGAACCATGCAATATACCTTACAGTTTTTTGGGAGGACTCCCTTATTACGATTATGGTATAATCATTATAATGGCCCCAAAACCCTATTCTAACTGTTAAGGCCTTGCAGTGCAATGTCTAGGATCCCTCGCTGTTTCAGGGTACTTTCCTTGCCAAGCCGTTCTTGGAGCCTCTGGGTACCCATGGCCGAAACGGATCGACTCTTGAGGTTCGCTGCAACTTCTGAGGTCATGCTGCTGGGTTGTGTTAATCTCAATCCCTAAGGGGCCATGTGCCCAAATAGTATATACTTTGGCCTTAAAGTAGTCCTTATACAGGTACTTTGGGGCCAATGTATACTATATATGTACATGGACCCCTCAGGGAATCTGCAAGTTCCCTAATAGCTTTCGGACAGCAAAGGTCGCATGCTCGGGCCTACACAATGCAAGAAGCAGGCACGAGCCAGTATGAATCGCACAGTGCGATTTTGTCCTGCGCGTCGTGGCAGCAGCATAAGAGGACTCGGTCAGAGAATTGTCTTGCCCGGTAGCTGCGTTCTTTGTTTCACTGTGTACATGCAGCTACTTTAGGGCTTCGGCCGCGCCGTGGCACGATGCCCTGTCATCTTCATCTGCAACGGGGTGGCCCTGACGCCTGCGGGCTTTGCCCGTGATTGATGTATTTCTTGGCACTCGAATCGGTGATGTGGCAACCTCCATCTCGCCAAAAGGTGAAGTGCTGGCACCAACTCACTGACGCGCAGCGCTGCTGGCACTGCTGCAAGGTTTGTCCATGTGACTTACCTCGCCTTCGGCCGTCAAGTGTGTACCAATGCGGCTGGCCCTTGTCGGTACGCCAACGCCGGCGACGGCGTCTGTTGTAGTCGATTGCCCACCAGACCTTCGGTACTGCACAGCAGTCTTCTGGCCGGCCTGGGCCAGACCTGACATACCATCCCCCATGAAGCTCACTGTCTCTGCTTTGGAGGTGGCAGCCACCGTCCTGGTAAAAGGTGTAGTGCACGCAACCCGAGACCCGGTTGCAGCGGTCACGACAAGCAACTGAGTTTTTCTCCGTCGTCCGATCCTGCCCCGGCATGTTGGTCTCACGCCGGCGGACATACTTGTTGTTCCAAGGAACGCGGCGCCTCTGTATCTCCTTGTAGTACTTGCCGTCTGTGGAGCATGGGTCCTCTTGCTGAGCATCGCTGTCACCGCTGGAAAAGTCGAAACTCTTGCAGAAGATGGTGAACGAAGCAGACACCCCTTTCATGCACTTGAAGCCACCAATATTGCCTTTCTTGGGGCTACAGTCTGTCGACTTTGCAATGCCATCCACTGCACTCACGCCAAGCCCAAGCTTGATGCCGACTTTTGGGCCATCGGTCTTTAGGGTCAAGGTCCCGCCAACGGTCACGCCAGCCCGCACACCCTGCCCGGTGGGTAGGCTAGGAATGAAGCCGATCGTCAAGCCCACCGCGAGCTCAAACACGGCCGGGTGGTTCCCCTTCATAGCCTGGGCATGTCCAAATATGGGGCTTTTGAACTACGGAAGGCGTTTTGGATCTTTTTCCCCTAGTATAGGCCTCGACCCAGACCTCAAACTCCTGCGGATCGCCCACAGCCATGCTGTAGCCCACCGCCGCACCCCACTTCGTAGACTCGTGAGGGAACTTCCTCTGGAAGCTGCTAAACTCATTGGCCCGCCAGCTCAGGCACCTGAGTCCATGTATGTGGGCTTCCCTAGAGTCGGATCACAGCTTCATCCTTAGGGCGAACCCCGGAACTCTCACAAAAGCAGCCAGAGCACCACCATCCTTCGCCATAGATTTCCGCGCCCATGCCTGAGACTTTGAAAAACTCCCTTCTCCTCCCCCGTCTCCGAGGAGAACTCCTTCGCCTTCCAGCCTCTGAGTCGGCGTTCTCCTGGGCTTCAACAAAACCAGGGAGACAAAAGTATAGACTTTTATTTCATAATGGCTCCTTTAAGGAAGAGGTACCCAAAAAAAGTATTAAAGTATGGTACTCCAAAGCCCAGTCTCTCTACGCTCCAAGGCAAGGGCGGTGGAAAGCACGTCGCTCGCCTCCTTGTAAACGTGATCCACACGCCTCGCCCCCTTTGCCCGGCCTGTTCCGTAGATGAACTTTCTGAAGTTTGTATGGAAATCAGAGCTTGCATTCATCGCCTGCCATACAGACGTCCTGAATTGCATGAAGCCTAGATGGTGGGTCTTCACAGCATGCCAGGAAGCATTCACGTCCACGAGTTCCGCAATATGTCCGGCGGATGCATCCATGATATCGACAAACGAGGTTGTCCAGCACCCGATGAGCTCGCACGCCTGCTTGGGAGTTTCCGCAACAGGGGCAGAGACTTCATTATGGTATGCCGTAACCCCTGCACTCTAGAACCTAACCCCTAACAAACATCTAACCGTGCCAAATACGGAACGTACAATGCTCCCGTGCCAACACTACTGGAAAAAGCTCATAGCATAGTATGATGCATAGGTTCACCTAACATATAGTATAGTATAACCTACTGTCATACAACATGATACATACACGTTCATATAAATATACCTGTATAATGTATGTACTTGTGTAGTAAAGTATGGTATAGTTGAAGTGCAAAAATACAAGTACAGTAGAAGTAAACGTAAATTTATAAAGCAAAATGTTTTTACTTCGAAATTTCCACCCTGCAGATAATGCATTTGGGGGCCACACCACTGACTGGTGCTACGGTCGTGGACTGACTGGCGTTACGGTCGTGGGGTCCCCGTACAGGTAACAACACACGAGTGTTCGATTCAGGTCAGTTGACGATCCGCGGAGTCACACCACGGAACAAAACACGAGTGCTCGATTCAGGTCATTCGACGACCCATGCATGGGGTCACGCCACTGATTGGCGTTGCGGGCGTGGGGTCCCCGTACCCGTACAAAAACACGCAATCGATTCAGGTCAGTCGACGATCCATGGAGGCACACCACTGACTGGCGTTAAGGTCCTGGGGTCCCGGGGTTGGGCACGAGTCTCACCGTAGACTTTGGGGTTGCAGTACGATTGGTTACGGCCAAGAGTGTGCCTGGAAGAGCCATCAAGACGCGGGAGTATGATTTGATACAGCCAAGAGTGGGCCAAGAACCACCAAGACCACTACGATTGTTTACGGCGAAATGTAACCCGCGAATACGACTTGATACGGCCAAGATTGGGCCAGAGAAAGCCACCAAGACCCGGGAGTACGATTTGCTACAGCCAAATGTGAACCAGCAACAGCCGCCAAGACTCGGGAGTACGATTTGTCACGGCCAATAAATAGTGTGCCAGAAAAAGCCACCAAGACCGTACGATTTGATACGGCCAAGAGTGGCCCCGAGAGAGAGTACGATTTGTCACGGCCAAAAGTGGGCCAGAAAAACCTGCCAAGACCGGGAGTAAGATTTGTTAAGGCAAAGAGTGGGCCAGATAGAGCCACGGGAGTACGGTTTGTTGCGGCCAAAACGCGGGAGTACGACTTGTTACTGATAAGAGTGGGCCATAAATACCCGGCAATAGGATTTGTGACGGCTTAGAGTGGGCCAGAAAGACGCGGAAGTATGGTTTGTGACGGCCGAAAGTTGGGCACTCCTGGGAGTCTCATGGTAGGGCACTCCAGTGAGTCTCAGGGTAGTCTCTGGGGGTGGGCACTCCCAGCAGCCTCTGGAGGTAGTCTCGGCGGACGAGCAGCGGGCGGGAGGAATAGCTGAGATTAAATTGTAAATTTAACAACCCCACACCGAGGGTGGGGAATAAAATTAATTGAAGCAATATACGGTAAAGTCCGGTATAGTAAAGCAACATAAAAGAACGACAAGTATAGTAAAGTACAGTATACCACAGCATAAATTCATAGTGTAACAAGTTATAGTATAATAAAAGGTTGTATAATACAAAAAAGTATAGTGAATCGTAGTATACTATAGTGTATAGAATGGAAAAGCACAGTATAGTATAGTATATAGTACTATAGTGTGTAACAAAAATACAAGTTTTGTATAGCGTAGCATAGCAACATACACTGCAGTATAGTATAACAGAGAAGCAGAGAGTAGAGTAGCGTGAATAGAGTACAGTGGAGTGGAGTATATGATTTTAGAATAGAAAATAATGAAGTGGAACAGACTAGGATAGTTTAGTGTAGAACAAGCTAGGATAAAGTCAAGTAGAACATAATATGATATTGCATGGCACACTTTAGTAAAGTAGAATATGGTATGATATGCTCTAGGAAAATATGATACAGCATCGTGAAGCAGCATAAAATACTGTATACAATAGCATAGTAAATTATAGCATATTATTGCATTGAACTGCAAGCTCTGCTATACAAAACCGTAATGCACTGTACGATACTATCTTATACTGTTCTTTACCATGGTATAGTCTAATATATACGAAACAATGTAATACAAGACGACACAACATATGCGTACAATATACTACAGCATAATGTCATGTAACGCAGTACAGTATCGTAAGACCAGTAAACGACCGGATAATATACATTTCCAGGGTTTAATATAGTACAGTCTCATAACAGAATTTAGTATATGACTTACATGCCTTATTTGATATAATATGGCATAGTGCAACAATCTAGTTTCATACAATGTCAAAAAAGTACAACAGTTTATACCACAATATGATCTAGTTCAATACCGCACAGTAACATACAAGTAAAGTAAGACAGCACAATATAGAATAGTATTATACAGGATCGTATGGGAAACTATCGTATACTATCGTCGAATATAATATCGTATGGTATAGGACAGGATAGCACAAGAGGATATAGTGCAGTATAGCCAAGGCATAGCATAACATAGCATAGCATAGCGAAGCATTCTACAGAGTAGCAGGGTGCAGTCAAGCAGAGTTTAATAACATAACATGTAAGATAATGTAGTCAATGCAATAATAATATCGTGTAATATTAAAAAGATCACCCCAAGATTACACCAAAAGGAGTAGTACAATGGCAACAGTTTGCATGGGGTGGCATATGGTAAATGCAAGAATCAATTGTTTCAAGACTGGATGAGAGAAGCATGGGTTTCAGACGAACCCAAGAAAGTCATCCCTATCATTCGACAAAATCAGCCGTAAACCCTAAACCCTAAACCCTCGACAAAATCAGCCGTAAACCCTAAACCCTAAACCCTATCATTCGACAAAATCAGCCGTAAACCCTAAACCCTAAACCCTAAACCCTCGACAAAATCAGCCGTAAACCCTAAACCCTAAACTCTGAACCCCCGGATCTGTAACACAAAAACGGTACGGCCTACAGTTTTAGGGTGTAGGGTTTAGGGTGTAGGGTTTAGGGTTTAGGGTGTAGGGTTTAGGGGGCCTGCAGCGTAAACCTCACTTCAAGTTGCAAAGTCTACATCATGAGCCCAAAAAAAAAGAGAGTATAAGCCTTGTCAGGAACTACAATCTGGCACAACTTTCTTCTCGACTGCTAGCTTTACATATCTCCAATCACTCGGCCATGACAGCACGGTTTGCTGCGCTTTGTACCCTTGCCTTCTTCCAAGTGTGAGCGAAGAAGGACTCCTCCAGCAAATGCAGCCTCGAATGGTCCGAGAGGGCCCGCACCGTCCTGGCTGCTGCCCGGTGTGTGTGGAACACAGCAGCCACTGCGCGGCTCTGCCGTTCGCTGCTCGCTGCCTTCGCTGCGGTGCTCTCCGATTGCAGCAAGGAGCCTGTGTCGGGAATGCTGGCAATGCTGGCCGTCTCCTGCTCGCAAAGTCCTGGCATATGGGGCAAGCCAATCTGAGCCTGAATCGCAAACTCTTCGTAGTGGTCAGTGACCTCTTTCTCCACCTCCAGGTAGGTTGCCATTCTGCCGGGAGTGATTGCGTGGGGGTCGGCTTCTGCGGCAGTCTCCAAGAGGCAATTGGTCTGCTTGATACAGACGAGAAGAAACTCGGGACTGTTTGGGCACAGCATTTGACCTGCCTCCGCCTGCATCTCATTCAACTTCTCCTAGGTTCCCCAGTAGCCCCTTAATAATAAGGGTGCCCTTTTTCCTACTATGTAGGTTTAATAAGCGAACCCAAAAAGAAAAAAGGCAAAAGGGTGCTACTGGGAACCTGGTCTCTAGCCAATTCGCGGTCATCCTGATGATCATTTCGCCACGCGGCTCCTCCGGCGGCTCAGCCGATCCGACCTCTGCCTCCATGTGGTAAAGCTCCTTCCCCAAGTACTCCGCAATGCGAATGTAGGCCTAGGTTCCCCAGTAGCCCCTTAATAAGAAGGGTACCCTTTTTCCTACTACTTGGTTTGAATAAGGGAGCCCAAAAAGAAAAAGGGGCAAAAGGGTAGTACTGGGAAACCTAGAGGCTGCAACAGCCTTCGCCAGCAAGACCCCGGCATCGTTTTCGAGAAGTCGCTCCGCTTTCTCGATCACTGCTGCCGTCGGCGTGACACGATCCCCAGGCTGATGACAGATGTTGGTGCCCTCCTTGTCATAGCTCTCGTTGTAGAAGACGCCATCATACTCCTCCCCCGTTCTTGGATCCTTCTTGCGGATTCGATGGACCTCGATGCGGCTCAGCCCATCTCCTCCCTCACGCGCCAGGCTCAGCATGTATCGAATCTCCTTCCGTCAGCCGCACAGAGGACTCAGAAGATCTTCTTTACACAACTCTGAACGATCTTCGTAAACCCCACACCTTGAGCATGCCTTTCAGCCTCTCCGCAAACATGAGGTAAAAGCACGTACGTTCTACGTCAAAGACGGCCTCAATTGAATGGCCCACTCCCACATGGCGGTGTCATAACTTGCTTATTTCTCGCCAAGGGCGTCCTCTTCCGTAAGTCGCTGTCCCGCAGGGCTCGAAAGTGACCCATTGGCAGCTTCGCCTGCCACGGGAAGGCATCCCTTCTTGGGTTTAGGGATGAAGCGCAACATCCAATGGGGCAGACTGGCATCTACGACAACGCCAGGACTGACTGAGCTGCGGCTTCAATGCCCGGGGCGTGGCTACACAGGTCCGCTACTCGGTGCATTGTCACCTTCTGCAGCGTGATGGTCTCACGCGTCTGGCTGAGTGCTACAATCCCTAAACCCTAAACCCTACAACCCTAGAACCCCTAGAAACCCTACATCCTGAAACCCTCAACCCAACCCCTAAACCCTAAAACCCTACAACCCTAGAAACCCTAAATCCTGAAACCCGAAACCCCTAAAATCCTAGGCTTGCTCTTGTCTTGCTAGGGGGTTGGTTTGCCAGCTGCGACCCTTCAGGGACGGCCTGTGGGAGCCAGCGCCTCTTTGATGGCAGAGCCTGGGCTGCAAGGAAGGCTTAGGCTTTTCGGGCAAGGAACCCAAGGTTTAGGCTTATTTTAAGGGTTTTGAAAGTTTTTTGGGGTTTAGGCCTGTTAGGCCTTGATTTCAGGGCTTTCAGGGTTGAAGTCAAGTAGCTGATGGCCGCCTCAAGGGACTTGACCTTTGCTCCGTCGGTCAGGGTGCCCATGAAGAGCATCCAAAGCACCTGCGTGGGAGCGGTAAATCTGAGGGTTTAGGGTTAAAACTTACACGTTGCCCGGTCGGCACAGCCAAAACCGGGTGAATGATCCTCTGTCTCTTCAACATCGGTTCACACTTCCAGTGCAACCAGGATGCTGGCTTCACCAGCCACATGGGCAGACATTGCTTCATTCTAGCTGAATGCTGAAAATGGAAAAACGGACTGAACGTCCAGACTTGCGTACTTGAGCAGTCAGGCTTCGGTTCGTGATCCGACTGCATTGCACCAATCATGCAAACGCAAAGCTTTGCATTTCTGCCGGTTCTACGGAAACTGGCGCGAAGGCGGATACACCACGCAGATGGACATCGGAAAGAGCTGCCGATGTCTGGGCCCGTGCCAGCCTTCAGGAGCATGGCGTTGGTAGCCTTCTTGTCCAAGCCTCAGACGGGAGCTCCCTAAACCCTACCTTAACCTACCAAAACCTATGGAATTGATAGGGACCCTACAAAAAAGTAGGTTTTTGGTAGGTTTTAAGGTCCTGGGACAAGTTTGATCTGCGACATCAATGGTGGCTCTGACTGGAGAATTAAAGCTGCGTTCGTGCAGCCCCAGGCCCCACCTCTCAGGCCCCCTAATGCCATGTCCTACATCCGAATCGAGGTGTTTTTGCTGAGCCCCAAACTCTAAATCCTGAGCCCCAAACGCCCCAAACTCTAAACCCTGTGCCGTCGACATAAACAATCCAACCCTCCAACATCTCGCTCTTGACAGAGGCCAGCGGCCCATCTGCACGCGCTTGACATTGGTGCAGTAGAGGTCATCNNCCCCCCCCCAAAAAAAAAAGAAAAGCGCTACGGCTTTTGCTGCTATCCCTTGGGGCTTCTCCTGTGAGATTCTGTCCAGGGCGGAAGATTTCGGTTGCAGCCACGATAGCATTTGCTGCCCAAAGTATTGAGGCGGGTGCTTCCAATCCATGGACTACGAATGCTACTACCACTACACACTCATTGATGCTCTAAGCACGAAGACCTTGCCGTTTATGACATCTGCAAGCACTTGGGGCGACATGTTGAGACGCCGATGTGCCGATTTGCTCGATCGCAGCAGGAATCCAGGTTGAAGCGACGAGCGGACGGCCGCTTTGTCTTTCCAGTGTCGCGATGAAAAGACAAGCTGTCCTAGCCGCAATCTCAATTCGTGAGAAAGACGCTCCAACCATCCTCCAAGGCCCTCCACTCTAAAGCACTCCCTACATCTAAACCCGCCATAGACCGTGCAGCCCGAATCCTAAACCCTGAAAAATTTAGACAAGGGAGGGCCTGAAGCCTACCTGTAGTCTCCATTGTNNGTTAAACCAAAAAAAGGAACTACATTGGAGACTATAGGTAGGTAGGAGCCCATGAGAAACCTTCGCGCCTTGTCTCCCACCAAGGCAGTGAGCTGCGAGTGGCCCTCGAAGTCCTCCTCGGCGAAAGGGTCCTGGCAGGGGGCGCAGGGTGCATCCCATAGTAGTTCCTTGTTGTGGCTTATATTTAGGGTCCTGTATTAGGTAATCCCAAAAAGGAACTCCTATGGGGCCTATGGGTTTCTGCTTTCTGTTGCCGCCTTTTGGTTGAACGGCTCTTCGCTGTGTTGTATTATACTTGCTGCCTTTTTGGTTGCATGGAGTGGGGGTTTTGGGCCCAGGGCTTGGTTTAAGAGGACATCATAGGGGGAATCAACAAAGAAAGTGCTTTCTGAGCCTGAACCTAGCACGACACGTCACAAAAGCACCGCTCCAAAGCCTTGAAGCAGCCCGCAGACACCGAAACCCTAGAGCGGGAAGGCTCTGCGGCCCGAAAACATCTGAACCCGAAGCGCTCAACTGCTGCCTCCAACAGTGCAATGGGGTAGGTGTCGCAGAAACGCTTGTACGTGGCCACCTGAAGCTGCGCGCTTCGCGGCTTATGGGCAGCTCCAACTTCTGAGAATCATCGCGACTACGCAGAAGTGTGCAGGAACGCCTTGCAAGAAGCACGACGCTCGTATGTTTGTCAGCCGCTGCTGGGACAACTGCTATCTTGATCTACAAAACACCTTCTTGAAAGCTCACTGGGTCTCGAGGCTACACACGGCGAGAATTGTAAGTTCCTTTCTCCGCAAAGGCCAAAGCAGCGTAAGCGAAAAGGGCAAAGCACAGCCATGGTTTAACATGTCCAAACTATAACTGAAGACTCCTCACCATAACTACCACCGTCATTGTCATCACCATCATCATCATCCTCATCATCATCATCATGACGCTCAAAAAATGGATGCGAGTAGTGGTTCAGATCCCCCTATGGACTCTAAGACCTAAACTACATCTCTGACAAGACAACACGGAAAGCCATGGAAGGAAAACCACCAACTAAACCCTCAACCCTAAACCTTAAACCCTAAACCCTAAACCTTAAAGCCTAAACCCTAGAGACAAGGAGCCATCTCCTCCCTGCTCTTCTTGTTCTCCGGCTTCGGGTTCGTGCTCTTGAAGTCCATGTCCTCAGGGTTTAGGGTTTAAGGGTTTAAGGGTTTAGGATTTACGGGTTTAAGGGTTTAGGGTTTAGGGGCTCTTGAAGTCCATGTCCTCGTCAGGGTGCGGTCGTGGTGTTGGCTTTCTCGCATTAGCAACAGAACTAAGGAGTGGCCGTCGTCGTCGTAGTCGTCGTCGTAGTAGTAGTAGTAGTAGTAGTAGTGGTGATAATGAGTAGTATCGGAAGGAGCAATAGCGCCTCCCCAACTGTCAACACTCAAGCTGCAACCCTAAACTCACAAAGGCCGAAGCCGACCATCACCTCAAGCAACCGCTAGATTCTAAGAACCCTCAACAACATTCCTGAATCCTACGCCCCTCAAGAACCCTCAGTTAAACAAAACCCTACATGCGGAGCTTCAACCCGTTACAAACCACTCTAGCACGAACCTCCGGGTTTAGGGTTTAGAGACCCAAAACCCCAAACCCCTCCGCCTTCATGAACTTTCTTGCCCAAGTGGCGTACTTCTGCTCGTCGCCCTTCCAGAACTCTGAGGAGGCGGGGTCCGAACCGATCCTGCCATTCGATACAGAGGGGTCTGCCTGTTTTTCAGCAAAAAAGAGGGTTCGTTTAAGACCCTGAGGGAGGTGTTGAGGCAACGCTTTGAGGTCTAGAGGGTGACGGGCTTGGCCAGCCTTGCATCTGAAATCATGCTGAATCTAAAACACCTAGGCCCAGGCATCAAAAGCCCAACTCACCCCGAAGGGCTGTTGAGGATGGGTGCTCCGTGCTCTTTTAGGGACGAACAGAACAGGTGTACCGAAGGCCCTGTGGTCGGTGCTATATTTCCCTTGTGGAGCCTCAGAAAACGAAAGAGGTTGAGGGCTACCCTAAACCCTAAACCCTAAACCGAGGCTTTGAGCTTACAAGAGCTTTGGGCCAATCGTAAACTTCCGGAGAAGGGGCCTTTGGACCAGCCTTACCACGCCAGACGCCCGACGCAACATGCTCAAAGCCCTTTATCTACTATAATGAACTACGGTATATAACATGAAAGAATTATGTAGGAACCTGATCAAGAAATCCTGGGTCCTTTTTAATTAGGGCTCCTTATATGGGTGGTTGTCAAAATTAGGGTCCCTTGTTGGGTACGCTAAATAATAGGTGCCGTATTATAATAAGGACCCAAAAGGGGACCATAATTTTGACAACCACCCATATGAAACCTACCATCTTGGGGGTATAGGGCCAGGGTCCCTCAATCAGGTTCCTACATTACACTGCCCTTTGCTCTCTTTTGCATAGACCTTGTAGTATATAACATGCAGTAACGATGTAATGATGACCACAAACTTGCATAAAATCCAAATCTAATATAATGAACTACAGTATATAACATGAAATAACATAAAATCCCAAATCTAATATAATGAACTACAGTCTGTCACCATGAAATTAATGATGACCACACACTTGCGTGCCGAGGGACAGGATCTTGCCCTCGTGGCCCGCCTCACGGCTCACCCTAAACCCCTAAACCCCTAAACCTAAACCCAAAGCCCTAAAGCCCTAAAGCCCTAAAGCCCTAAAGCCCTAAACCCTAAACCCTAAACCCCAAACCCCAAAACCGCGGAGGGCGGAAAGTTTCAAGGCAATGGAAGGGACTTGCCTTGGTTTTTGCGGCTAAGGACTTGGGGCCTGTTGGGATAGTATGAGGTGGGGCAATGGAAGGGGGCTTGCTTGTTGGCTTTTTTTGGTGTTTTTGGGGTTTTTTCGGGCCTTTAGGGATAGTATGGCCCTTTGCTTCTTCTTCAGACGGGCCGAAAGCCGATTTTTTCTGCCAGCTTCGTCGGATGACGCTTGTGGCTGATGACAGGTTGACAAGAAGCAAGAAGGCGGGGCCGTTCCGACATCATCGCGAACGAAGCCTGCCCACGTGGATATCGGTGTCTTGACCAATGCGATCAATGGCTTTTCGAAAGATTCCTTGAACTCTCCTGTCCAAGAATGGAATCCGTACCCGGACTTGTTTGCAGCCAGCTGTCCTCATACAAAATAGACGCCGGTGGTCTTCCGTCCAGTACAGTTCCTCCTGCACACCATGACGCTTGACAGTGGCCTTGACCGCGCTCAGGATAAAGTTCGGGTGCCTGAGCGGGTCAACAAGTCCCTCCTTCAACTCATGGATGGTGGATTCCAAAGGCCTGCCGTCCTTGAAACGCGCGCTGCACCTAGTCTGAAGATTGGCCACTCTATGGATTGGAACAGTCTCGATGACAACCCGGGTGCCTCCGTCCTCCGCAAGGATTTCTCTTGCACAGCGAGGTGATCGTTCGCGATACCGCACGTCCGCACCTGACCAAGGATTCCCCTCGAAATCCCATGCATCTTCATCGTCAGGGGCCCTCACCCAAGTACTTGACGCCCAGCCGCCATCGTTTGTGCCAGCATGGGATGAAGACCAAGAAGGGTTCTCCTGCGCCTCCTCTGATCTCCAACTCCCATCACGATGCCAACCGTAATTGGTCCAAGCATCATCGCAAAGACCCCACGAAGGCCAACCTGAAGCTGAACGGCATGGGGACTGTTCATCTGGGCGCCGCCTGTCTTCTTCATCTTCCTGGCAGAGCAGAGTACTCGCAAGTGCATGTCTGGCTAGGACAGCTGCTCTCGGACAGGGCGGTGACGGATGCGTTGGGACTGCATCGCTTGTTGAAGCATCGCCGAAAGAATCTTCAAAACACTCTGCAAGCTCGGTGAAGCCTTTGGCCACGGCAATCTGGCGAGCTGTTCTGTTGTGTCCCTTGTACTGAGCCTTGATGTTGACATCAGCTCGATGTCCCAGCAACAATTGCACCATGCCCACGTCCGCTTTCCACAAGCAAGCCTCATGCAGCGCATTGCGAGCGCCCTTGCACGCATGGTATGTTACAAGATCAACTGATGCTCTGGCAGCGAGGAGTGCTCTTGCTGCAGACATCTGGTTAAAGCCTGCCGCAACGCGCAACATCCACGATCTCTCCTCGATGTCCAGTGCCATCAAAGCCGGCACATGCGCCTCCGACAGGACTTCGTTTCTTGCCCGCGAATTCCTGTAGCTCATCCTTTCGGCACGGACCGAGACCGGGGTAGCTGAACTGGCCGGCGGTGAAGATGGCCTTGATGATGAGGGATGCGTTGGGACTGCATCGCTTGTTGAAGCATCGCCGAAAGAATCTTCAAAACACTCTGCAAGCTCGGTGAAGCCTTTGGCCACGGCAATCTTGCGAGCTGTTCTGTTGTGTCCCTTGTACTGAACCTTGATGTTGACATCAGCTCGATGTCCCAGCAACAATTGCACCATGCCCACGTCCGCTCCCCACAAGCAAGCCTCATGCAGCGCATTGCGAGCGCCCTTGCACGCATGGTATGATACAAGATCAACTGATGCTTTGGCAGTGAGGAGTGCTCTTGCTGCAGACATCTGGTTAAAGCCTGCCGCAACGCGCAACATCCACGATCTCTCCTCGATGTCCAGTGCAATCAAAACCGGCACATGCGCCTCCGACAGGACTTCGTTGCTTGCCCGTGCATTCCTGTAGCTCATCACACGTGCTGAGGCGTCGGTGTTCGTTGGTGGCCCGCCCATTTTTGTAGCCAGAGTTTCGGGGGGTGGCGCACCTATCTGGCGCTTGAAATGCAGGGGAGACAAATGCAGCCATGCTTCCTGAAAGAGCACCTCCGAGTAACCCGGGACCAGAATTGCCAGGGACAACCTTCCCCTGCGAAAGCTTGCTGAAGGACTCCAGGAATAAGAACAAAAATCTGAACAGTAGCAGTGATAGTAGTCGCAGTCGTAGCAACAGTAGTAACAACAAGAAACTAGCAGGAACAGTAAGTATAATACGACAAAGGGTAGTAACCATACTAATGATGCCAAAAACCAATAGTAGTAACTGTACTTAAAGGATCATGGGACTTAGGTAAGTAAGGTTATAAGTCCCTTAATTGGGGGTATAAGTATAGTTAGTTACCTTAGTTATAACCCTACTTACTAAGTCCCATGATCCTTTAAGTAACAACAAACTTTGGAATTTATGGTACTATACTATATTTGGGTCATGCAGAATTTTGTCCATCAACCGTAGTAACTGTAACAACAACACGAAGAGTCATAATTGGAATTATATCCAACTCTTGCCTGGCTGATGGCTTCCAGCAGTAGCTTCAGCCCCTGGCAAAAGCTCTTTGCTTCTTTGAAGTAGTGTAGGGGCCTTATTAATTAGAATAAGGTTCCTTGAAAGGGTTCCCTAAAGGGTTCTATAAGGGTTCTATAATTTAACTATACTTGTAATAAGGAACCCTCAAGATAGTGGTGGTAATCATGTGGGTAGTTGCCCTAAGTAATAGGGTGCCGTATTATAATAAGGACCCAAAAGCGGACCATAATCTTGACAACCACCCATGTAGGCTTCTATGTTAACGTTCTGTTCATGTGCGAGACTCTTAGGCCTGAATTGCCAAAGCCAGTATAGTTTAAGGTTTAGGAGGGTTTTCGGTTTAGGGTTTAGGGTTTAGGGGTTGGGGGTTGGGGTTTAGGGTTTAGGATTTAGGGGTCTAGGGTTTAGGGGCTTTGGGGTTGAGGGTTAAGGTTTAGGTGGTTTCTGTCAGGGTTTAGGATTTAGGGGTCTAGGGTTTAGGGTTTAGGGGTTGAGGGTTTAAGGTTTAGGAGGTTTTGTCAGGGTTTAGGATTTAGGGGTGCAGGGTTGAGGGGCTTACGGGTTGAGGGTTTAAGGTTTAGGAGGTGGTGTCAGGGTTTCACGAATGTCGAAGCCTCCTTGAAGAACCCTTATCGTACCCTTGTGATGCCCTTGCAGTATCGCTCTGGAACCCCTACCTTTTGGTACTTTACAGGACTATACTACCCTTCTAGAACCTCAGAGGTACCCCATAAAAAGCTCATAGAATTCCCTTATAGTATGCTTCTAGTATGCCTAAAGAACCCCTGCTAGAAACCTAATACCCATAAAAAGCTCATAGAATTCCCTGATAGTATGCTTCTAGTACGCCTCAAGAACCCCTTCGAGAAGCCGTAAAGGAAACCTTATACTACACCCAGCCTTGGTCATTGGGCCGACGCAAAAGGTGGGATAAAGGTAGGTAGGAGTCAGGATTCCCTATTCAATATTCAGGGTGAAGGGTTTAGGGTTTTAGGGTTTAGGGGTTTAGGGTTTACGGGTTAAGGGTTTAGGAAGGACTCTTATCTTGGGATTACCCCACCTTCCTTCATCCTACCCTTGGAGCCCGTTGAGTATGCCTAAAGAACCCCCCTCTTTTAGTAACCCTACTACCATAATACAAAACCCCAAGCTAAACCCTAGATGCTAAACTTGGCCTTTCTTGTCTTTCAAAGAACCCTTCTAGAACCCTTGAAAGAAGCCGCCCTAAACCCTAAACCCTACCCTATTCCATAATAGTCGTATATAATTGGAGCAATTTAAAGAAGCCCTCTCCCAGGAAGAGACTCCTAAACCCCTGAAACCCTTATAGATCCCCTTAAAGGAACCCTTATAGATCCCTTTCAAGGAACCCCTAAACCCTAAACCCTAAACCCTAAACCCCAAAACCCCCTAATTCCTGGGGCCTCCTCCGGGTCCGCCACGGCAGGGGCGAAGCCGCCCTCGTCGCCCACGGCCGTGGAGTCCAGGCCTCGGAGCGCTTCGGAAATTGCTGGGCGGCGTTAGGGGCTCCTTTAAAGGGATCTATAAGGGGTTAGGGGTTTTAGGGGTTTAGGAGTTCAAGGTTCAGGGTTCAGGGGTTCCTTTAAAAGGGATCTATAAGGGTTCCTTTAAAGGGATCTATGAGGGTTCCTTTAAAGGGATCCAAAAGGGCTCCTTTAAAGGGCTCCTTGAAAGGGATGAATAACGGTTCAGGGTTTAGGGTTTAGGGGCTTAGGGGTTCCTTTAAAGGGATCTATAAGGGTTTAGGGCTTTAGGGTCTAGGGCTAAGGGTTTCGGGTTTAGGGTTTAGAGGTTTAGGGGTTTAAGGGGTTTGGGTTTTAGGGGTTCAGGGGGTTTAGGGGGCGCCTTAAGGACTTCGGCTCCTTGAAAGCTTCCTTTAAGAGGGTTTCTACGAGGGCGGTTCCTTTTTAAAAGGGACCTCTAAGGAAGACTGGGCGGGTCGTCGAAGCCTTCAGAGTTCGAGGAGGGCTTAGTAAGTTCCTTTCTCGCCCTTTCTGTGGTTCTGTAGCCGGTGCCAGAATGGCTCTGTAACATATTCGAATGTGTTTCGGTGTGGACGGTACTGTAAATTATTGTGAGGAGCTCTAAGGTGCAATATGAGTAGTTACTCAGGCTTCTACATTCGAGTGGCAGCTGCTGGTGCCAACGTTTGCAGAACTTCGGTTTCATGACGACGACGACGACGACAACGACGACGACGACGACGACGACGACTACTACTACTACTACGACTCCTACTACGACTACTACTACTGGTGGCTGTGGGTTTTGGGTTTCGCCAGCCTCTGGAACTTGATTGACTGCGGTTCCCCATCCCCGCTTCCGATCCTGCACTGACTTCGGAACTTGAGCCCCTGAATGTCCCAAGGTGATGTCCTCACGTAGAACTGTCTGGTGCTTAGTAGGGAATGGGGGAATGGGTTGTAGGGACTACTATAAGGGACTACTTTAGGGATCCATTCTCCCATGCCCTACTAAGCACCAGACAGAGAAGTCTTACACTTGTTACTGTTCTCCAGCCTAAACCGCAAAGGGCCCCAATCCCCAGAGCGCCGTCGAGGCTCCATACTTCTTCTTGATGATGCCCTTCAGGTTGTGGTAGGTCTCTGAGCCGAGCTTCATGGCCTCCCAGGCACGCGAAACATTCGGTCCGGCGGGCTTCGAAGGGATTCTTGGGGCCAAGGCCGAAATCCTAAAACTGAAGAAGCACACGGGGTCCGAGGCTTGGCGGCTACGGGGTCCCGTTAAGTTCAAAGCTGAGGTTTCCTGATGCCTGAGCCTGTGTTTGTGCATTGAGATCCCGTGATGCCAGCGCCTCGTGCGCCCTACTTCTGTCAATACGCAGCGCACACACCACCACCCAAGGAAGCAACGGGCCCTCGGTATCATCCGCACCGGGACCCTCTGCTCAATGTCTGGTCGTCGACGTGTAAACGAAACGTCATGCCACTCAACTTCACGGAGTGACATTCGCCCAGAAATCCCCCTAAACCCTAAACCCAAACCCCCGAACTACTGTTCATGGACAAAATTCTGCATGACCCAAATATAGTATAATACAATAAATCCCATAGGTCATGCAGGATTTTGTCCATCAGCCGTATGACTCTGCATCCCTGGGATTTCTTGCTTGCATTCGGCCTCCGCGAAGGTCTTGGCACCCACGGGGATGAGGAAGAACTCCTGTGGCAATCATGATGGTTCATCGTCAAGGCGACTGAATCTGGGCCGGCATTTTCACACTGTTTCCAGGCAGTCATTAAAACTAAATACGTTTTCATGGGGTCATTATATGGGGTGACGGGTAGGTGTGATTAGTATATTCTGGTACAGTGTAGTATAGCTATGTAAGGACTAAACTCCAAGCCCTGAACCCTCAACCTTATGCCCTACTTGAACCCAAACAACCCAACTTTTCAAGGAGCGATAGACGGACGAATGCTGAACCTTGAGACCTATGCTTTCTAGAATCTCTGGTCAACCCCTAAACCCTAACCCATATAAACCCACCGACAAAAGTACAAACTCCCTGGGTAACCCCCTACACTTGGGGGTCTTTGGGATGCTGCGAATGCCTGGAAAGCCAAGAAGTTGCCGGCGTGGACACCGCCGTTGATGACCTGAATCAGAAGTGAGGTCCAGGTTACTTGGAGGATCACGGGACTTAGTAAGTAAGGTTATAAGTCCCCTAATTTGGGTTATACGTATAGTTACCTTAGTTATAACCCTACTTACTAAGTCCCATGATCCTTTAGGTAGGGCTTAGGTGCTGAGGGGACCTTGGGGTGCGTGGGGTAGTTGAGACGGTTGGGGTTTGGGTTTAGGGTTTGGGTCTCGAGTTTCGGGCTTTGGGGGGTTAAAGGCAGCTAGGTCTGTTCTGGCCTCTTTCATTTCGTGGTTGGGCTTCGCTTTAAGTCGTGATTCTCGCTGTCGTTTGGCAGCTTTTACTTTTGCTTCTGTGCATATGCTGCTGCGCCAAAGCATGCTTATATCCAAATACACACTGACAGCCCTGAAGCCGTGGTTTGTTCAGCTGCTAAACCCTGCCGGCAGCGTCCGTCTGTTTCCACGTTTACAACCTTCGTCCCATCTGCGTAGCTGACGCAACCCCTGACCCTGCACACTCAACTCTCGAGCTCAAAACCGCCAAAGACAGCTCAAGACACACTGATCCGGGGAAGCTGCGTTGAAGCACGGCACAGGCATGGACATGAGGGGTTTGCCCGCGATCTCGTTAATGTGCCTCGGCAGCGATGTAACGCAAAGGTTCTGCATTGGGTCCCTCGATTTACGGCCTAGCGCTTTGGGGCTAAATCCCAAGATGTAAAACTTTGTGCAAGCCGTACGCCGAATGCATTAATGACTTTAGGATTGCAAGCTGGACGGGTGTCCCCGGGTTCAGGGTCTGGGTTTCTTGCTCCAGGATGGCGCTGAGGTACTACTATTGGGGTTTGTCTGTTGAAAGGTCCAACCCTCCTTGCCTTAGCGTTGCAAGAAACTCTCAGAATTGTTGGGAAGTGCGTTCTATAGAATACTTTTATGTTGGCTGATTGTATTGTCAATATTCTAATAAATTACATGTAGTGCAATGTACATCTGCAGCAGCTCCCGCATAACTCCCTCCTGAGCCAGGCGGCTTGAAGAGGGGAAGACCCTTCTGCGCAGCGCCAGCACGGCAGCAGGCCATGGACACACCTGCACAGGTTTCAGTATCTTTGGGGGGCTTGGGGATTCTTGGGGGTTTAGGGTTTGGGGGGGTTGAGGGTTAGAAATTTGGGGAAAAGGGTGATGAGGGTGAGGAAAGAAGTTGATGATGATGACGGGTTGGTAGCCGCCAGCTGCTGACAATGAAGATGACAGCCACATGCTAAGCTTTGGTGATCACGACGGCGATGGCTGGGCATCAGGAGAACTGGTGGTGTACGTACGACTTACAAACGCTGCTGGATCTCGGTATGAAGGTCCTCGAAACCCTAAACCCTAAACCCTGAATCCTAAACCCTAAACCCCAAAACGAAACGTCCAAAGCGGATGCATCTTCCCCTGGGGTTCGAAGGGCGAGAGGCCCTTCTTGTGGAAACTTGGGAGCGCGACCTTTGGCCTTAGGAGCCCAATTTCTGGGTTGTGGTTAGGGAACTTAAAGTAAGTTACTATAATCAGGAAACCCTATTATTGACTATACATGTACATACATATATATATATATAGCGAAATATATATATATATATATATATGCATATATACATCCCAGTATGGCAATCTAATCTAAATGAAGTTCCTTAACAGCAGCCCAGATTTTCCCCTGTCGGTTCCCGTCGCCTAGAATGGCGTTGGCTCCCAGGTTTGTCTTGTTCTCCGTGGCATCCTTGGGTTCAGGGAACGTAACAGACGTAACAGCCCATAGTTGGTCGTCTGGCGGAAGGGCGGCAGATGACCATGATTCTGGGAGCAGGCATGAGATGTGAAGGTCAAACGGCCTGATCTAGATTCTTGAACTCTCGATGTGAAGTGGCAGTAAGACGTGTTGGTACCTTGCGCGCGTACCCCCTCGTACAGAAACAGTAAGCGTACCCTTACCAAATGTTTCTTCGGTCTTCGGATTCACACCGAGGGGCCAAGTCAATCATGATCTTGTCGATGCCCTGCTGGTCTGCCGGGTCCTGCCGTTTGCACAAAGCCCAGCTCTCGCCCGCAGACATAATGTAGGGTTCTGATTAAGAAACCCTGGGCCTTTATTACGGTTCTTGATATGAACCCTCATATATTGGGGTTATATGGCCAGGGTTTCTTAATCAGGTTCCTACATTACTTCTTTCATCTTCTTTGACTCATTCTGTCAATCTCCATTCATGATGTCTGAAGGGTATCGCGCGAGGGCAGCATAGCACTGGCTGGCGGCGAGCACCCGCAGCTCTTGACCCGTCCAAATGTTTGGGTTGTAGTGCGAGTTAGCAGATGTGCAGCGCACAATAGGTTAATCAGCTTCGACCGAGAAGTAGCGTCAAATAGCGATTGTGATGCAAGAATGCCTTCTGTCCTTGCCAATGAGGGCGGGGGCGATCTTGGACTTCACGTTGTCGACTGCCTTTGAGACACCTAGCAGCCAAGACGAAAGTGAAACCGCATGAACCCATGACCAATGAAACATGTAATTACAAGCCCCTGGTGCAAGTTTGCCACCGCCGGACGAATCCCAAGACCAGAGTCCCATCTCCTAGACCCCCCCTCCGCACGTGGCATCATGTCGATTTCGAAGCCGCACGTCTTCATGAACTTCACGACTTCAACCCTTTCCACACATGACAAACAATGGCAATGATGCTGGCAGTGGGAATCAGAGTGCATGGTGGTTGTTCGAAATGGTGCTTCTGAAGGAGAGACGATTGGGGACAAACCTCCTTATGGGAAGATCCTAGCAACGGCGGGGAAACGACCTTGCGGCTTGTTGGAACAACTACACGGGACCAAACTCCAAGCGCTAAGCCACAAGGATTTTCAAGGCCATTCAGAGGACCCCTCGGCTCTCCCTTCGTTGGTTTCAATTTGGAAGGGACCCTAACGGACCCTGAATATATCCTGATAGTGATCGCAGTTGGCACCTTTGCCCATGTAGTCCTTGCCGCCGTCGCGCAACTCACAAGCCTGGGGTTCAGGGTTCACAAGTCAACCTCAACCTACCAAAACGTACTTTTTTACAGGGTCCCTACAAATTCCATGTTCGGGCTTATTATAAGAACCTACCAAACGGTAGGTTTTGGTAGGGGTTCAAGATCCCGGGATTAGGGTTTCGGGTCAGGGTCCGGGTGTAGGATTCCTCCAGAAAGCAGCTTGCTTTCCGAACCGACCCGCCACGTCCCAGAGGTGAGGTGCCAAATTAGGGGCTACTACAGCGTTTAGGTTTAGGGGTTTAGGGTAGGGCACTAATACGGATAGATGCAGCCTTTCGGAGCTAACAGTTTGGAGTGCTGAACCCAGGCCCCCCTGCTCCCCAAATCTTGTCATGTCCGCTAGAAGGCACTGTTGCACAGCCCAAATCATGATTTTTATTGGGAGGCTGGACTGGGTATCGGGACGACTACTTAAAGGATCATGGGACTTAGTAAGTAGGGTTATAATTAGGGTAACTATACTTATAACCCCAATGAGGGGACTTATAACCTTACTTACTAAGTCCCATGATCCTCCAAGTATGGGCGTTTGGAGGATCTTGGTTCTTGCAAGGGTCTGGGCCTTGGGCTCAGGACCGTGATATTGTTGGGAAGGGGAGCATCTCCATGTACACAACGCACCCAGCCCAACCTACCGGAAGCTAGGTACCAGCTTGCTTGCACAGACTATGGATTGAATCGGAGCTCTCCGAAGAATAAAATCTTGAACACAAGAAGGGGCAGTGGCGGCATAACCCCTTCGGCCTAAAATATGAGCCTGAGCCTGTTACCCTAAAGCCTAAACCCCTTATGCCTCCAAACCCTGACCTTAACTTGCCAGGAGGATTTTTAATCCAGCAGCCCCCAACAAATTCTCAACATGATGCCCCTTTGAACACAAAGGTAGGGTCTCTTGGGTTTCAGAGTTCTTATTCATGAACAGCCTGAACCCTAAAGCCCCACGCTCGGGGTTCCTCATGATGAAACTTCCGTGCATTTTGCACGAAGTCGATTAGGTTTCCGGTAATCTGGAGGCCTGAACAGTTTCAATAGGGTTTTGGGGGTCTATGGTACTAAGACGATTGAAAGGATCCCCCCCAAACAGCGTATTCGTAACTCAAGGTGTCCATATCATGTTTTGTTTTGTCCCCAACCTGGAGCTCTTGAGAGGGGGCCCTAAACCCTAAACCTCTAAACCCTGAACCCCTAAACCCTTATCGATCCCTTGAAAAGGAGCCCTTATAGATCCCTTCAAAGGAAACCCTAAACCCCAAGTCCCCAGCCTCATTCTCGCCGGTGGAGGCGCCGCTGGGCACCGCAGCGCGGAAGACGCCGGCTTCGGTGGTGATTTCCACCTGGAGCTGTTTAGGGTTTAGGGTTCGGGTTTGGGATTTCAGGGGTTTAAGGGTTTAGGGTTTAGGGCCCGGGTTTGGGACTTAGGGTTTGGGGTTTAGGGTTTAGGGGTTCAGGCTTCGGTGGTGATCTCCACCTGGAGCTGAGAATTTCAGGGCTTCGGGTTTGGGGTTTCAGGGGTTTAGGGGTTTAGGGGTTTGGGTTTTGGGGTTTAGGGGTTTCGGGGTTTAGGGTTTGGGGTTTAGGGTTCAGGCTTCGGGTTCGGGGGTTTGGGGTTTAGGGCTCAAGGGGTTTAAGGATATTCCCTTAAGGTCCCTTATAGTAGTCTCTATAACCCATTCTCCCAATCCGTACTAAGCACCAGACAGAAGAAGGATGACAAATGACGGTGGAGGTCCCTTACCGAACAGGCCCTAACAGATGAAGCCCTGACTGACAGGATGTAGTACTTGGAGGATGGGACTTAGCAAGTAAGGTTATAATTCCCTTAGTTGGGGTTATAAGTATAGTTAGTTACCTTAGTTATGACCCTACTTACTAAGTCCCATGATCCTTTAAGTAGTAAACACGACCAGGTAGCTACCCTTCGTCAAGCCTTGTGCACCATGTCGCGATGCCGTGAGTCGGAAATCTGAAAACCCAGCTCAACCAAAGGTGCCGTTCCTCCAAACTCTCATATACAACGATGACATCAGGAACCTCAAAGACTCTCGTGCATCAAACTCCCGAAGCACATAGCCCTACTACACACGCTTCTGGCATGATGACTCTGCTACGAGTCTCTTCTGAAAGCAACCACCCCCAAACCCTAAACCGTGAACCTACTTAAAGGATCATGGGACGGTAACTGTACTTATAACCCCAATTAGGGGACTTATAACCTTACTTACTAAGTCCCATGATCCTTTAAGTAAGGGAGCCCAAAAAGAAGAAGGGCAAAAGGGTGCAACTGGGGAACCTAGGAAAGCCCCAGTGCGAAGTTCACGGAGCTCGATCCGGCCTCAACGGTTGGGTTGCCACGGGAATCGAAGATCTGACGGGCGTGCACCTTCTGGATCGGCATCTCGTCACCTGATCGTCCTACATTGTGTGGGGTTTTTCGGGCACAGATGTTGAGGCTTTAATTTGAATTTTGGAGTGTTGTTTTGTTGACATTCAAGTCGAGTGCAGGTGTTTCTTCGTCGTCAAACAAGAAAACTTGAACGAGAACTCCCATAATTTAGAGCAGTGCGTTTGGGGGTCCTGGGAGATCCACTCGCGACTACACCAATTGCCCGAAGAATTACCAAGTGATGGGAGCCACAATCTTCATCGCCCTCGTCCTAATCATCATGATCAGCTGGAGGATGACTGTGGTGATCCTGACTGTGATACCAACCCTTGTCAAGCTACCGTCATCGCAATCATCATCTTCAGCAGCAGCAAGAACACCGACATGAACAAAAACCAACCTTGAACAGGACAAGTCTCATGCGACCCGTCTGTGTCAGACAAGTGGCAGCTGTTGGCTGCTGTATGCACACTGAGCTCCGGATGCTTTAAGCCAAAATGCTGCAAAGGAAAGGCCTGCTCCAGCAGCCCGACAATAACAAGAAGGATGAGGGAGACGGAGAGAGAGAGAAAGACACAGAGAGAGAGAGAGAGAGGGAAAGAGCAACGAGGGTCAAGTTGGTTGAAAGTTGCCGACTCAGCGATTAACCAAGTTGAACGCCCAAGACGCGCGCAAACATGGAGTCATGCAGGGCAACAGAAAGTCAGAAGAAACGACAGAAAGACGAACATACATAGCGACAGTGGAAGATCACTAAGGCCCTTCGCGTTGCAGTTTTGGGTTTAGGATTTGAGTTTAGGCTTTAGGGTCCCGGTCATCAGGGATTTGAAGGCTGCCTCAGCCGCACGCATTTTCCAAATATTGCAATGAATCTGTCAAGTTCAGCTAAGAGGTATCTGTACAGATCCCGTGGCAGGTGGACACCTCCGGCAAGCATTGACTGCGTAAGACTATAGGTTGATGCTTCGCATGCTATGGTTTTGATAAGACTGAGTATACCAGAGGATAGATATGGGGGTTTCCAAAAATAGGGGACCCTCATATAGTACCCTAAACAATAGGATCCTTATTATTATAAGGACCCCCAGAATAAGGTAGCCCTAATTTTTGGAAACCCCCATATAAAGATGTGTTCGCATGTTCGGGCAGGATGACGGGAAAGATGCTGGCAGTTCGCGGTATGCGCGCGACCGTGCTTGCATGTCAACCAGTAGGGCTGTAGGGGGTGTATGGCTCATAGTCATAGGTTGAGAGCTACATCACATGTGTCAACCAGTAAGACTCCCGGAATAAGACCGCCAAATGTTTCTTCAATCCAAGGAGCTTCATGCGAAAGTACAACTTATAAACACTCTGACGAGTTCCAGCTTGCTCAGCGTAGCAGAACATATCATCGCATATAGCCAGCAAATCATCGCATACTACAGCTTATTGTGGCGCATCATGCATATTGTAGCATAGTATTGCATGCTCTGAACATAGTTAGTATGCTAGTATATGGGTAGTTGTCTAAATTCGGATCCCTTTTCAGGGCCCCCATATAGTACGGCACCCTTAAAAACAGGACCCCAAAAAGGGACCCCTACTTTAGAGAACTACCCGTATGAGCAGCTGTCAAAATTATGGTCCCTTTTGGGGTACCTTAAATAATAGGTGCCGTATTAGAATAAGGACCCAAAAAGGGACCATAGTTTTGACAACCACCCATATAAACGATCGAGCGGCTCTGCCACCTGCCTGGGAGGTCATGCAGGAAGCTGTTGGTCCGGAATCCAGAGACTCCAATATCCCTTAATGAAGGAATATACCTTAAATTATAGTAGGATCCCTAATATGGGTGGTTGTGAAAATTATGGTCCCTTTTTGGGTCCTTATTATAATACGGCACCTATTATTTAGGGTACCCTAAAAGGGACCATAATTTTGACAACTACCCATATGATTTAAGGTCTATTCCTTAGTTAAGGGGTATTGGAGTCTCTGGGAATCAGGGGAGGCCAAGCTTCCGTCTTTTTGCGTCGAGTCCTATGCAGCCCTGGATCTGGAACCTAAGAAGACCGTTCAAGGTCCTAGGGGTTGAAGGGTTTAGGGTTTAGGCTGTGCCCTGGGGCGTGCACTTGCATGGGATTTGGGTTAAAGGATGCCTTTGTATCTACGTGAATACTAGCCACCCAGACTACCGATACAGGACCATCACGTTGCACTCGAGCCCTTTGCAAGCCAAGGGATCTGCCCTCTATTCCATGATCCTGTGCTCCCACAAAAAATGCGATTAATTCCCTATGCTGAACCCTAGCCCCGAGCCATCAACCCAAAGCCATCTACCCAAGACCCCAAACCCAAAACCCCGAAAACCCTAAACCCCTAAACCCTAAAACCTCAAGCCTAGCCCCTAAACCCCGAAACCCTAAACCCTTTAACCCTAAACCCCAAATCTTAACACTTAAACCCCGAAACCCTGAACCCTAAACCCTAAACCCTTTATCCTAAACCACTTAACCCTCGATCCAAAGAGACCAGGATAGATTGGAGGAAGCTTGGGGCCCTGGGCCCGTGAGGTGCTGTATCCGGCGGTCTTGTGCCCCGAGGTGCTCTTTGAGGCACTGCCATCTTTCAGGCATTCTGAGGGTACTTTGAAAAAGAGGCTTAGGGTTTACTTATAGGGTTTAGGGCCCTTTCAGGCATTTTGAGGGTATTTTGAAAAAGAGGCTTAGGGTTTAGTTATAGGGTTTAGGGCCGAAAATAGGGGTTTGCGGTAGATGCAAGCTACATGTGAAGACTGGACTTCGCATCTTTTTGGCTTCTGGGTTGAAGATCGAAAGCTCATATCTATCCCTAAGGGTCCATGTGCTCATATAGTATATACATTGGGCCCAAAGTACCTATATAGAGACTACTTTAAGGCCAAAGTATCTACTATTTGGGTACATGGACCCTTAGGGTATGCGACTCAGTCAATGTCCAGCGCATCCCGCAGTTTGACGAGGTCATCGTCCTCTTCCACTTCCATGTTTGCCACCTGGGATGCAAGATGTAGGCGCTTTTGTTGCTCCAAGTTCCCCAATGGGAGTTATTTTGGGGTCCTTATAATTGGAATCCTACTCTTTGGGGTTCTATATTAGGGTCCCCTATTTTCGGAAACCCCCAATAGCCCCTTAGTACCACAGAACACCAGGCCACCCTTTTTACAACGTTTCTGGTTCAACAGGGGAACCCAAGACGAAAAAAAGGCAAACGGGTACTTGGAGGATCATGGGACTTAGTAAGTAAGATTATAAGTCCCCTGATTGGGGTTATAAGAATAGTTACGGTAATTATAACCCTACTTACCAAGTCCCATGATCCTTTAAGTACTGGTGGGGAACCTCATCGCTTTTTGGATTCCAGGGATGAGGCCTAGTCCCAGGTTTCTTGCTTGCCGCATGTCACACTTTTGGGGTTTCTTAATTCCCACTTCCCGGGTCTTCTGCCTTGTGTGGGGGCTTTGACGGAGCTTTGGGGTTGAGGGGCTTCGACTACCTGGTGACGCGCCCGAAGGGCGACCAGGATGCGTATCCAACAGGCGCCATGTTCAACTTCAAAGGCACCCTCGTTTTTGCTAGAACCCGTGTAGGTCCCCAAAAGAAACCCTGAAATCCTTGCACAAACCCTTAAAACACTTCTATAAACCCTTAATGAAAACCCTTATAGGAACCCTTAAACCCTTTCAGAAACCCTTAAACCCTTGTAGAAACCCTTAAACCCTTTTAGAAACCCTTAAACCCTTCTAGGAACCCTTCTAGAAAGCGTCAAACCCTCCAAGGGCGGTGAGGGGCGGTGAGGTTAAACCCTAAACCCTAAACTCTAAAACCTAAACTCTAAACCCCAAACTCTAAACCCTAAAACCTAAACCCTATAAACCCTAAACCCTAAACCCTAAAACCTAAACTCTATAAACCCTAAACCCTAACTTCCATGCTTTTTTTTACCCCGAGGCCCCCGAATCCGCAGCCCCAACTCGCCAGGCCACCGGGCCCGGAACCTCGAAGTCGAAGTAGTGAATTAGGGCTTTGGGGGGGGACTTTTTTGGGACTTTCGGTGATATTATAATGTCATCAGTTCAAGCTTTTGGGAGGACTTTTTTTTGGACTTTCGAATAAGTTGGGGCTTTGGGGGTGTCGGAGTTTTTGGGACTTTCGGTGCTAGTATAAAGTCTGAGTCCTAGGGTTTAGGGTGTAGTTAGGGTTGAGAGATCGGAACAGTGTGAAAGGGGCGTTAGTACTTGGGTTAAGGCTTTGGGCTTTTCCATCATCGCGTAAGTGGGATAAGGAATCCTGGGGAAGACTATGAGCAACTATTTAGGCTTCTACCCTAAACCCTAAACCCTAAACCCTGTACGATCCTCTTAGATGTGGTCTCTGTAGTCACAACCTTTCCGAGACTCCCGCACCCCCCTTCCATACCCTCTGTTTGTCTCCTTCTGGTGCACCCTCCCAGCAACTCTGAAATGAACGGTTTAGGGTTTAGGGTTTAGGGTTGAAATTAAAAATGTTCACAACAGCCCTTCGCTGAAACTGCAGCCAGGGCGGCTGGGGGCAGATCTTCTGGAGTAATCACCCAATCGCCGCTGTTCACACGGCTGTCTAAAGTCTCCTGCGCCCACGCATCTTGTGGGGCTCAAATTCCCAGACCCCCGTAAGGATCTAGAAAGTAGATCCCCTAATTTGGGACCCTATGCTACTAAGGGCTCTTTCTAGGAGCCCCCGATTAAGTTGGGAGAATGGGAGAACCGCCCTAGAACCCGAGCTCCCGGACTTGCTAGACCGCACAAACCCCCCAACGCCTCCCGCAACTCAACCACTCGTCGACTCGTGGCAAACCCTGCACCCCGAAACTCGACAGGCGGAAATGCCGAAACCTCAACTACGCAAGCTTTAAATCCTGAACCGCACTTCCCAAACGCCCAACAAACATAAACAACCCCCCCCCAAAATTCTCTACCCAGGAAACAGCCCTACAACCCACTCTTAAAGAAGCCGAACCCTATTTAAACCCTAAACCTATCGGAAGCCGCGCCTGTGCCCAGACCTGCTGCTTCAAGGCGAAGATAATCCGCCGGCCTCAGGGGAGGTACGACGTGAACCTCATGTAGGGGTTTAGGGGCTTTAGGGGTTAAGGGTTTTTGGGGTTTAAGGGGTTTTAGGGGTTTAGGGGTTTAAGGGGTTTTAGGGGTTTAGGGGTTTAAGGGGGTTCTTAGGCGCTTAAGAGTATAAGGGGTCTTAGGGGTTTAGGGGATTTAGGGGTTTAGGCCTTAGGGGCCTTGATCGTTAAGATGAATTTTTTTGGGGGCTATCTTCTACTCTAGGAAAGCCTATAAAGGGACAATTTATCGATGACTGTTCAGGCCCCTCGCTTCTTCTTTTTTTGGGGGGGAGCGCGGGGACGTCGAGCGCTTCCGAGGGATTGTTGCGGTTTAGGGTAGCTATTGTCTGTTTGGGATGGGGGGGGGTCTTCGGGTTGTGTGGCCTTGAGCAAATGCAGAGTCTTTTTGGACATGTCGTAAGTAATATATTCAGAACTAGAGCTGCCTCATGCTTTTTTCCTATGTCCCAAAGGCTTTTGTGTATCGAAGCCTTTACGGAACCCTTTGAGTTACTTACTAAGTCCCATGCTGCACGTATCTACCTAATGTGGCAGATTGTTCTGGAGCGTTCATTTGGACAGCTTCCGGAAAAGCTGTGAGGACACAATCGTAGCAGGTTCATTGTGCGAACAACCTTCCAAGACCATCCATCCTAAACTCAAACCATTTCACGAAACGGAGCCTGCGAAAGAAACCCTAAACCCACGCGCACCTCGACCCCCCTCCGAGAAGTCAACAGGCTGAAACACAAGAAAATCTAATGACCTAGTTTCCCCTAGCCGCCCAGGTACCTACTATATAGTGCCCTAGGGGCTCTAGTACCCAATATAGTAGGTACCTGGGGGGTTAGGGTTCTATCACCGCATCAGGCTTCATCCTGCGTCAACCTGTCATGCACCGTAGAGACATCCCAAAGACAGCAGCTGAGAGAGTGGCAGAAGACATCCAGCTTGATGGTTTCTGGCTTTCCTGCCACATCGATGCGTGCACGCTCATCGCCAGGTCGGGGCTTATGAGGCACATGCGGGCATAGATGATACTGTATTTACAATACGGAACTCCCCCTCCACCCTAAACCCTATAACCCTAAACCCCAAAAAAGCAAATAGTATTGGTAACTCAGACCGCTAGCTCTGGCTTTGGGGCTTTCGGGGGGGGCTTCGGCGTGCCCTGGTTGTATTTTGAGGCGTTAACACTTGGGATTAAGGGTTCTGGGCTCCTTTAGAGTATAGTTTTTTTTGAACGCCTTTTTCCACCAAGTCGAGCACGTGAGAGTATAGGGGTTTAGGGTCTAGGGTTTAGGGTATAGCTATCGCAAGAAACCCGAAGGAACACTTATTTTGGGCTTCCTAAACCCTAAGCCCTAACCCCGGCTCTGATAGTAGCTCCTGAGGTCTCGTCGCCAAAGGGCTCCTCCATAATTTCCGCCAGCTCCTCTCAGGGGTTTAGGGTTTAACCTTAAACCGGAAAACCCTACGCCCTACACCCTAAACCCTAAACCCCACACCCCAAACCCCAAACCTTTGGGGGTTCAGGGTTCAGAGTTTAAGGGTTTAAGAAAGGAACTTTGAGGGGGTCTTCTGGGCTTCTCTGTTGGAGGAGGGCTCTAGGGGTTGTGGTTACCACTACTGTTACGGGTATTCTTACCTCTGCTACTAACATTAATACCACTGTTACTAATAAGTTCTACTACTGCTACTCATGCTCATGCTACTGTTACTAACCTTATTACTACTAACTACTAAGCCCTAAACCCTAAAGTAACTACATAGACTCGTACTACTGGTGAGATTCCCATCGGTGCCGGCCTCGGTGTAGTACAAGGCCCAGGCAACGATCAGCACTGCGGGCACCACCAGAGCCTGGAAGTTGACATGAAATGGGTAGTTCTCTAAAATTAGGGTTTAGGGTTTAGGGTTTTAGGTCCCCCAAATAGTACGGCACCATCATAAAATCGACCCTAAAAGGGACCCTAATTTAGAGAACTACCCAAATATGCGTGGTGCTTTGTTTGTTCCAAGGACCGTTTGCAGTTCCGCGCCGGGTTTGTTACCGGTGGCCATGGCGGGCTGGTAGCACCGCCTCCTCCTCCTCCTCTCCTCCCTGCCCCCTCCGCAGCATCATGTCATCTTCTTCCTCATAAGTAACAGAACATCGTGGTCGTCAGCCGTACCACACTCGCCAGCATCAGTGTCATGAATGCCAGCATCACCATCATCGTCATCGCTGAGGCCATTCAAGATAACGAGAAGATGTGCAGTAGCCGCAGCAACAGTAGATCTACCGTATGCACACGAACCAACACAGTCACAGTCCTCGCAAAGAAAACACAGGTGCCCCAGCATGAAGGGGAACATGACTGCAAACAGGACCCTTCAACATATTGAATCCTGAATCCGACTCCAACTGCCCTCATCAGCTTGTGCGCTTGGTGTTAAGCAGCCGCAGGAAGCATAGCCACAGGAATGATTTGGAGTCCCCAAGCCCCTCATACGATGAAGGCCTGAATACTTAAACTACTGCTGCGGGAAAACATGTAGTAGTGTGACTGTATAAGGACCCTAACGGGACGCTTCTTGTCGCCCTGTCTCCACTGTGCTAAGTGCCCGTACGGGTCTCATGACATCCAGCAGAACGAACGGCAGTGTGCCGACCTCGCCACAAAATGTATACATCAGTTCTAAAGGTACATTTCTACAAAGATTTGTTCGGGGGTCTTTATGTAAAGCTCTGAGCACGATGGGGCTTCGTAGCTTAGGTTTCTTTTGGGCTTGTCCCTATCGTGACGACTCTACCAAGCTACTACTTAATGACTGTTGGCCCTAGGGTTCGTGATTTCCGGAAATTCCCAGACAAACCATCCAAAACTTTCCGCATGAGCGAGTGTGACACGTTTCTGGGGCTGTTAATGAGAAACCTGGTTCTGCCCTACACCCTGAACCCTAAACCCTAAACCCTAAACCCTGGCTCTGCCCTACACCCTGACCCAATTTACGCTCATTGGAGCATTTTCGACTTGTTGGTAAGGGAGGAGGGTTTAGGGCTTAGGGTTTAGGGGGCTTTAGGGCTTTAGGGGTTTAGGGGTTTAGGGTTTACGAGGCTTTGTGGAACCTGGAGATAGCGCATCCAAGGCTCCACTCGAACGGTCTGTTCTTGTGGTCCCTATCTGCAACTACAAGGGCCCCTGCTTCATTATTGAGGCCCGATGTGTTGGAGTTTAAGCAGATGCAGAATCGTCGCGATGGTAGCGCTGAAGTTTCTCATGAAGCCCCCATGGCCCCGAAACGCCAAGCAGTTCCGATTCGATCCTCTCATGCTTGCAGCAGCCCTCTTGATCTACGGGCCTCCTGCGGGGTATGTTGTAGTATACCGTATATCCGTAGCTGGACTTGCAATACTCCTCATCCCGAGAACCCGGCCCAAAGGCGGATGAAACGATCTGCGTGGATGGTGTAGCTGGCTGGCAGTGGCTGCTGCACCTGATAGCAATTGAAGCTCACGGCAGAGGTTTGAGTTCGACGGTCTAAGCGCCCTGCTTACTTACCTCGAACTTCCAAACGAGTTAGTCCAATTCCACCTGGTCCACCTAGTCTAACTTTGACTGCGCCAGACGAAAGTCCACCAGCGTTTGAGGAGTAATATAGGGGCCTTCAGAATTAGAATAGGGTTTTGGGGCCCACTACACCATAATCATAATAAGGAGCCACCCCAAAGAGTATTGGTAATTATTGAGGCCCTTGTATTAGAACCCTATCATGGGTCCCTTATAGAGACCTTTAAGGATCCCATTTAAAAGAACCCTATTCTGATTATATAGGTAACTATGAAGGCCCCTATATTAACGAGGCAAGCTTTCAAGAAGGAGTTGCAGAAGGCTCTGGAGCTTCGGACAGCTGAAGCTGAAACGGAGCTTGACACGAAATCCTGACAAACCCTGAGCCCCTACTTCCTAAGCCCTATAGACCCTAGAGCCCTTATCCTAAACCCTAAACCCTAAACTCTAAACCCTATAGACCCTAGAGCCCTTACTCTAAACCCTGCAAGCCCTACTTCCTAAACCGTTTTGACCCTAGAGCCCCTACCCTAAACCCTGCTAGCCTTACTTCCTAAACCCTATAGACCCTAAACCCCTAAAGCCCCCTAAACCCTAAACCCTACTTCCTAAACCCTATAGACCCTCGAGCCCCTACCATGGAGCCATAGCCATGGGAGGTAGTTTTCCAAATTAGGGTCCTTTTTTGGGTCCCCAATATAGTACGGCACCCTTATAAAAAAGGACCCTAACTTGGACCCTAATTTAGACCCTAAACCCTAAACCCTAAACCCCCTAATTTAGAGAACTACCCATGGGAGTGGGTGGTGCAGAGATCTAAGAGGAGCCTCTGGGTACAAGGGCCTGCGCCTTTGGAGAGTTTGGGGTTGGGGCTTTAGAGATTCAGGGTTTCGGTTTAGGGTTTAGGGTTTAGAGTTCAGGGTTTAGGGGTTCA